CTTTTCTTACACCTTTGAACACACACTTTGAGAATAACACGGGAAATTAAGTTGTGTGTTAGGGGGGGTGGGGGTGGTATTGATTGTACATGTTATTCCCATCCTTTTCAGTGTAGTTCAGAAGTGACAAATTACACACAATTACAATGTATCATGTTAATATCTCCCCATACAACTAAGCAGATTCAGGTTTCTTACCTTGACCTGTTTAATGTTTAGTCAGAATTTCTTGTCCATACAGTAGTCTCTGCCTAAGATCCTAAGATGTCACCTATTACGATCCCGGTTCGCTTAAGATCCTGCTGTTTTATTGAAACAGAATTTTTACTTTACAAAAGATACCCCGAAGATCCCGCTCTGATCCATTTTGAAGGTCTACATTCGGCTAAGATCCCGCATTTCTGATCATAATTTACAGAAACACCCTGGCAGGCACAGCCTATCTACCAAGAGTTAAAAGTTGAGATCAATAAACTGCCCGTTGCATCACAGATCAGCCACTCTTGTGAATGTGATCACATACGTTGTAAAACTCGATGAAATGGTACAATGTTTGCCCCAGATGGGATCACACCGATGTGTGAACTTATCTCTACACGTCTGCTTTCCCCAAACATCGCACTCGTACCCGAGCTCTCCACCTAAACTTGCATCACTTCGCTCCAGGCGGGATAACATCGTGTTGTGAACTCTTCTCTGTCCATTGCAACAGTTTTCTCTATTCCCGAGTTTTCAAGACAGACTGAATTTTAATTTAAAATATGTGGTCACAACGTAAAGGTGTGTAACGACAAAGGCGAGGAAACTTGATTAGAGAAAGAAAGCTCTAAAAAAAATTTATAGGCAAAGGGGAGGGGCAACTGGATAAGCGTAGATCTTGAGACTCATGATAGGACAGCCTCATGCCACTATGCACTGTGATAGGTCATTAAGGTTAACCACTCTTTGATCGCCATATATGTCATAAACCCACCCAAGAGGGCATGTCAGTTCATTTTAGAGTGGAGGGAGTGGAGACCATTTTCCCGATAATGAGCCTTAGCATGAGTCACCGTAGATTCTTCCCTAGGTTTGTCAGCTAAGATCCGGGATCGCTTAAGATCCCGCTTTTTCCTTCCTCCCGAGCACCGGGATCTTAGGCGGAGACTACTGTATAACCAAAGTGTAGTCAAGTTTAATGTACTGTCATATCAGCAAGAATGTGTTGTGAGCATTGTGTCGGCTCTTATGGTGGTGCCTGCAATGGTAATTTATTCTGAGGCACTGCTCTCTCTCTCTCTTGTTCTCCTCCTCCCCCTCCCCTTTCTCTGTTGGGTTTTATCCTGCCCCTATATATTGTTTAAGAGTTGAAAGTTTCCTTTAATTCAGTTTTCGGTAGTATGTTTTTTTTTACGTATGTATTGTGTGACAGGTTCATCAACTCTTTTAAATTTAAGTAAGATCTAAATTTCCAATTTGCCATGACAAAGTTTCTTTTCTGCTTCCAAGTTCCTTCCTCTTAAATTGTTGCCAGTTCCCTCTTTTAAAAAAAATGAAATTTTACATCATGTCCATCTTTATTGTATCAATTTTCTTCTTTTTAGAGAATGTTCACCTTTCTTTCCAAAACAGAACGAATTCCATAGACAGAACCGAAGGTTGATTGGCCTTTCAGTAGTCATGCATGTTTTTTTCTTCTTCGTTTGGGATGAGTCAGACAGTCAATCCGGTGGTGCACACAAACTGAGCAGTTTTAATCTGGCAGTGTTGCGTATCTCTGCGCTCTGGCACCAGGGTAGTTGCTTGCAATGTCTTTCTGTGTAGGTTTCTGTTTTGGTTACCAAGCATCACAGCAAGTGTGCTATTACCTGCTGGCTCAGACTTATTTATGCCCCAGGCATGGGTTCCTGTATACTTGACCCTGGTAGTGGTAGCGTGTACATGATAGCCTTGATGGGGGAGGTTGTTCCCAGTAAGGAAAGCATCTACTTTAAGTTCAGGCTGAATATTCTGCTAATGAAGCCATTCATTTCTGCACATGTACCGTGCTCATTTGTAATATATTTTTTGTCTGAACTCTGAGCAAGTCTTCATTCTTCACTCAATCACTGAAGTATTGGGTGAGTTTTAATAAGTAAGAAGTTCTGAATACAAGCATAGCAGCTTATAAGTTATGGTTTATCAAGTGTTGATCAACTGTTTGTTGTGTATCGTAAAGACTTGTGTATCGTAAAGACTCTCTCACTGCTGAAGTTAACAAGGCATATATATATATATATATGTAGCCGCTTTT